TGGAGGCAGCTCTGCARTGGGGTCTCACCTGAGCAGGGCAGAGGGACAGAATTTCCACTTTTCCTGCTCTCCATGGTGTGGGATCAGCCCAGGAGTTGAGGTTTTTCCACACATGGCTGGGGCATGTCCAGCTCTCACCCACCCATCCACCAGCACCCCAAATCCTCCTCCCAGGGCTGCTCCATCACTTCATCCCCAGCCCCGATCGGTACCGGGAGTTTTCCCGATCCAGCTGCAGCACCAGCACTTGGCTTTGTCTCACCTCATAAAATCCTTATATAAAATCCCCACTTTTTGTGCTTGTCCAGCTCCCGCTGGCAACACCCAAAAGCAGACCCTGCTCCAACAATTAAACATTCAAAACTTTATTTTAAAGCCGCATCTCCGAGGAGAACGCAGGCAGAAACTTTCCGGCGGAGCGCAACCGGGTTCACTTGGGACACAACCGGGGATAGGCGGAGTGGCACGGGGAATAAACCGGGTACACTTGGAATAAGCGGGGTACACTTGGGACACAGCCGGGGAGGCACCGGGAATAAACGGGATACACCTGGGACACAACCGGGAATAGGTGGAGGGGCACAGGGAATAAACCGGGTACACTTGGAATAAACGGGGTACTCTTGGGACACAGCCGGGAATAGCGGGGAGATCCCTGGAATAAACCGGATACACTTGGAATAAACGGGGTACACTGGGATACAACCGGGAATAGGCGGGGAGACCCCTGGAATAAACCGGGTACACCTCGAATAAACGGGGTACACTGGGACACAACCGGGAATAGGCAGGGGGACCCCTGGGACACAACCGGGTACACTTGGGACACAACCGGGGATAGGCGAACGAAGGGGCACCGGGAATAAACCGGGTACACCTGGGATAAACCGGCTACACCTGGAATAAACCGCGAACACCTGGGACACAGCCGGGCGTGGGCAGGAGGCATCAGGGGCAAACCGGGAACACCTGAGATAAACCAGCTACACCTGGGGCACAGCCGGGGAGATGGCGCGTATATAAACGGGTCCAGGGAGGCCGCTGAGAGCGAAATTTTCATTGTAGGGGGGATACTCGGAGTGCCATCAGGTCCAGGTAAGAGCCTATTCCCGTGTCCATGCCGGTTCGGGCCGCTGCCCAGGGAAGGGAAGGCGGGCGGGCGGCGCTGAGGGGCGGCGGGCAGGGCCGGGCTGGCTCCGCCCGCACCACATGACTCCACTGTCGGGAGAAACTTTTCCCGTCCCGCGGTCGGAAAATGGCGGCGTAGGGAGCGGGGCTCTGGCATCCCGGCGGCTCCCGGCGCCATGACCCGCTGGGTGCCCACCAAAAGGGAGGAGAAGTACGGYGTAGGTGAGGACGCGCCCGCCCCGCTCCCGCCTGTTGCGCCCATGGTCACCCCCCGGCCGCGGCCTCCCCGTCCTGCCCGCTGCCGGGCCGGGATGGAGCGCGGTGCCCGAGCCCCTCCGGTTCCTGTCCCTGTYCCCATCCYTTCCCGGCTCGCAGRAACTTGCGGAGTTGTCCYGGAGCTCTGCGCTCCAGCCGTGCCCCGCTGATAAGAGTTGTATTTTGCCGTGCTCCGCTGTGTTTGTGCCGCTCCCCGAGCGCTGCACGGAGTTGTTTTCACGGCGCTTTCTTTCTCCGCGCTGGCGGAGCGGGATGCGCGTCCCAGGCTGGATCWTTCGGGAGCGCTCTCTGTTCCCTGTCCCGCCGTGGGATGTTTCAGGGATAAGGCTGTCGGTTCTGCACGGAGTGTGATGTTCATACAGATGAGGGATTTCCCTGCGCGCTGGGATCCATTTCCTACTCCGCTCCTTCCGTCCCTCTGGAACAGAGGGGGATTGTTCCCAGCTGGTGCCTAAAACATCTCCGCTTTGACTAAACAGCTCCAAAACCCCGTGGGTTTGGGCAGGGCTGTGCCGGCAGGGCCCATCTTGAGTTTAAAGTTGTTGCGTTTTGAGCGAAACGCTTTATTTCGGGTTTCGATGAAAAAAAAACAAAACAGACTTTATTGGCGTGAATGAGCGTTTGTCTGGGGGAAGGAAATAATAAATCTGACTATTCAAATTGGAAACRTGAAGTTCAGTGTTCACCACAGTTGTTGGGCCGGGTTGATTGTGAAGAATAACTCTTTGTAGGAGCCCCCAGCTAAACCTCATCTAAACAAAGCGAGCAGGAAGAAGGGAGTTTTGGGGTCTGAGTAAAACCGAAGTAAATTGTARGAATTAATTTAAAATTCTGTATATACGTCCTTAGAACCGCAGCGTGACTTTTAAAAATTATTGGTAAATCCCGGTTACACCGTGTGAGATCCGTGGGTAATTTCTGCACTGAGGATGCAGCACAACCATAGGGAAACAGAAATGCCACTGATTGCTCGTTAAGTATCCAAATTATCTGCCGGGTGGTGTGGGATGGGTATTTTGGAATGACTGAATTGTCACGTAGTGGAAGCTGATGGTATAAACCAGTGTCACTCGAAAGCAAGTTCCTCTTTTGCAGGAACTCTGCTGTGGTGAGGGTGAGTGCCTGGGTCGGGCTTTCCAGGAATCTCTTGAAATTAATTTGAAAAGGATAGGAGAGGAAGAGACGGTGAAATGGACCGATTGTTTTAAAAGATGTTTTCAGTAGACTTGGATAGATCTCCAGTGTGAGAGATTGCACGTGTAGGAGAAGAAGAACTTAAATATAATCTAAGAATAAAAAATCCCAGTTTAAAAAAGTGCAAGGTGATGTTCCCAGTTGGTGCCTAATTGGTATTTTTTGTGTCTGCTGCTCTGCAGAGAAGTTTGTTACGGCATTATAATAGGTTTGTGTTTCTCTGTTAGTTTGTTTTCTTCTTCCTGGACCGAAGCTGAGATGCTCCCCAAACCGCGGTGTTTCTCTGCTGAGTGACAGGAGTGTGAGGGTTGAAAGGGGCTGTTGTGTTGCCTGGAGATAAAATCAGATTTAGAGCTAATTGATCATYGGATTCAGTGGCTCATTTCCATTCTGTTAGGTGCTGTTTTGGGAGCACACTCTTGGTGTCCTGCTAAGGAAAATGAATATTCAGTTTGGTTACGTGTATTTTATGGACCTTTATGTTGTTAAAAAAGGGCACTGTGAGCCTTTTGACTTTATTTTTTTGCTGCTTGTAAAAGCTGGAGGTTGGGGAGCATTGATGTAGTCCCAAACAGATTCAGAGAGGGCCCTGCTAAACTGAAAGTTTAGACATGAAAATAATTTTTTTCCTATTTGCCATGATTGGTCCTGAAGGCTGATGTTGACTCAGTATTGTCTGATGGGGAGAAAATCCCAGCTAGGAATGCTAATGGGACTTAGTGAAATGTAATTTACCATGCTTTGTGTGTCTCATCCATCCATGCAGATAWTTCCAAAAGGATGGTGCCCGAATCTTTACAGTGGTGCCCAGTGACAGGAAGAGGAAAAATGGCCATGAACTAAACCATGAGGGGTGAAGGAAGGGTGGCAGAGCACTGGAAGGACTGCCCAGGGAAGATGTTGAGTGTCCATCTCTCTGGAGATACTCCAAACCCACCTGGATGTGTTTGTGTCACCTGCTCCTGGTGAGATGGCCTGGATGATGGCCAGAGATCCCTTCCAACCACAGCTATTCTGGGATTCTCAGTGCAGGYTTCYYCAAAGCASAAATAACCTGAAGSTGTGGAATTTTTGGGTTATTTTTGTTGTGTCACGGTGTCATGTACATACGTGTCTATATATAGAGATGTTTATATACAAAATACCCACATGTGTTTGTGGAATGCATTTATATCCCTTTTTCTCCTCCTCTGGTATATTCCTGTGCACAACAGAGTTTTCTTAACATCTCGAGACCTAAAGATTTACTGGCTGTGGTGCAGCTGGAATAAATTACGCCAATGAGGGGCACACAAACACATCYAGGGGGGTTTGGAATGTCTTCAGAGAGAGAGAGACTCAATGCCCTCCCTGGGCAGTCATTCCAGTGCTGTTCCACCCTTCCTTCACTCCTCACCCTTCCCTGCCACCCTTCGTGGTTTAGTTCACGGCCACTGTTCCTCACCCCGTCACTGGGCACCACTGGGAAGAGTCTGGCAGCATCCTTTTGRAAGTTTCTGGGTTGATGAGACACTCAAAGCACAGTAAATTACGTTTCACTGAGTCCCATTACATTCCTAATTGTGATTTTTTTTTTTTGCAGTGAAAGCATGGTGGAATGTGGGTGAGGTGAAGATCACTTCCTCCTGTGGCACGGTGGGATTGGGGGGTGCTGCTGGATGCCCTGTGCTGTACAGAATGAATTTGCTGCCCCAAGCTCTCGGTGCAGAGGCATTATCTCAGCAGGCAGTGGTGAGTGTGACTCAGCTCTGCTTCCTGAGAGAGCTCAGGGCTCTCAGTGCAGGGAGGCTGCAGGAGGAATGGGTGTGGATCTAATGGGATCATGGGGATATTGCATTAACATATGGGGAGCAGGAAGAGGATCAGCTTCGTTGGAGAGGCTTTTTCCTGCTCCCTGTGCCCRGATCCTTGTCTTGGCACCTCAATCCTGCTTTTCATCCTGAGCTGCTGGGGAGCAGTGGAGGGGACCACGTGAGTGTGTGGCTTCCTCCACGGGGACATCAGTGGCATCCTGAGAGCTGTTTGTGTCCCCTCAGTGTCACTGAGTGCCCATGGAGCGTGGCTGCTCAGTCTCACATTTCCTACTTTTTGTGTGATGTGAAAATGGTAATTTTGGTGCTCTGCCAGCAAGAGGGGATGTAATGAGCTGCTTTGGGAAGCCTGGGAGGCTGAAGCAGCTCTGAGATAGTGCAAAGTGGCCGTGGTAGCTTCCAAATCCTCCTGACTTCTGCTCTTCTTTGACCCTTTGGGCTGAGAGCTGCARTGAGAAGTGGAGCTGGTGCTGCTGTGCTGCAAAAATTGAATTTAAAATGCCTTTGTGTCCATAGAGAGTAATTAGACCACTATTATGGTACTTTTTTTTTTTAATAAATGATGAAATAGAAAATTAGAGGCACGTGCCCTTGGATGGTCAGGTGTAAAAGGAGAACTTCCAGTTACAGGGCTTGAGTCCCCATCCCTGGAGGYGTCCAAGGAAGGCCTGGATGTGGCACTCGGAGCTCTGGGCTGGACAAGGTGGACMTTGGACTTGGACTTGATGTTCTTGGAGATCTTTTCCAGCCTCAGTAAGTTCCAGTATTTTTGTTTGTTTCTGTTGCACATCCCAGTGTGGCAAATTGTAACAAGCCTGATTTTTCAGTGTGAAGATTGCCCACACTTCATGGTTTTTGTGTTTAAATGCCTCTCTGAGTTTGGGATAGCTTTTTCAAAGRGGTTTGTGGAAGTACCTTCAAACCAGGGTATATAGAAATGTATATATTTTGTTATTAGGGGAGAACTTCAAGGAGTTGGTAGGCTAAGTAATGATTCCATGAYTATGATTTAAAAGTTTTGTAGCTGAGTTCTGCTCTTGTAATGTCTCTGAATGACACGAGAGGGTTTTGGTAAGGGTAATGCTGACAAAGGCACAGGAAATCCTAAAGCCAAACACTGCTGCTGCTCTTCTGCTTCAGGGAGGACTGGGATGCTTTAGGGCAGATTTAAGGCTTTTGTGCAATCCTGGAGTTCTGTGGTGCCAGGTGGAGGCTCTTGTTTGTGTAGGTGATCCTCTTGTGCATATTCATGCCTTAGAGTAGGGAAGGAAGTGTTTCAAGGAAATTGGGCAAGATGCATCTTCAGAATGGATTTTAGTGCTGTTGTGGTGTGAGGTTTGAGGCTCCCTGGCTGGACAGGACAGGTGACTTTGTGCTGGTAGTGGCAGCAGGGCTGTGTTGTTACACATCCCAAAGCTGTGGAGTAAAGGTGACAATGCCCATGGRAGATTTGCTGCTGCATGGATCAGTGTGTTGGAGTGAGCAAATGCAGATTCTGTTTCCTAGGGATGACATTCCCCATGGACACCCAGGTTAGGTTTTGTTGTATGGGAGGGAAGGCTGGGATAGTTGGGATTGTTCAACCTGGAGAAGGGAAGCTTTGGGGTGACTTAACTGTGACCTTCCAGTGCCTGAAGGGAGCTACAGGAAAGATGGAGAGAGACTTTGGACAAGGGATGGAGTGACAGGACAAGGGGGAATGGATCATATTGCCAGGGTTAGATGGGATTTTGGGAAGAAATTATTCCCTGTAGGGTGGGCAGCCCTGGCACAGGGTGCCCAGAGAAGCTGTGGCTGCCCCTGGATCCCTGGCAGTGCCCAAGGCCAGGCTGGACATTGGGACAGTGGGAGGTGTCCCTGCCATGATAAGGATGGCCCTGGATGTTCTTTAGTTCTTCCAATCCAAACCATTCACAGCTCTATCTTGCAACACCTTTAATTCCCTGCATTTCTGTGCTGCCCCATCCCTGGTGTCCCCTGAAGTAGAGGGCAGAGGCTCTGGTGGATGTCACTCCCCTCTTCCTACATCAATGACCTGGCTTTGRCTGCGGGCAGGRGCTCRGTTACTCCCAGTTTACTCAGCAGCYGCTATTGTTCTCTGTCAATAAACACTTGTTGCAAACAGCAGATTGGAGAGGGATAAAGATAACAGATAAGTGGAAGGCAGCGTAGACTCCTGTTTGTTTTTATCCAGGCCAGTGCCATTACAAGGTGTGATTGTTCTGAGAAATGACTCCTGATGGGATTTTCCAGGAATTACTATTTTTATTTCTCATAGAGCATACATTGACTTCAGTAGGTAGCCAGCTGCCTATGGCCATAAAACAGAGCTTTTACTGAACTTTGCAAAGAAAGTTTTCAGCCGGTATTGGGAATTTTCAGCTGTTCATTTTACTCTTGTTCCTAGAAAATAAAAGGGGAGGTAGAAAGCAAGGTGACATTTTACACTTTACACGGTACATGAATCTGGCAGTGACAGTAGTCAGGCTGATTTGAGGTGTTTGATTTATTTTCGTCCCCAGAAGTGTCCAAGGCCAGCTTTGGAGTACCCTGGGATGGTGGAAGGTGTCCCTGCCCATCACAGGGGATGGGACTGGATGGGCTTTAAGGTCCCTTCAACCCCAACCATTCTGGGATTSTCTGATTTCACCCTTGGTGGGTTTGTAGTTATCCCTTTATCTCTTCTGTTAAAAATGCTTGACTTAGGTGCACTCAGACAATGCTCATTTTGGGCTGTTTGCCACACTTGGCACAGATTTCTTTGTGGTACAAATGCATTTTCCTTTCTGTAAAGGCAGAGCTTTCAGGGTAGGGGGAAATAAACTGGCAGCAATTTAAAAGCAAAACACCATCTCCAGGAAGCCCCTCTGTCAGCTGATTGCTATAGAAATAAGCACTGGGGTAATTTTTCCTTKAAATATTGGTGTTTCTGGAGTTTGTCCAGTTTTGCTGGCTGTTGGGCACATGGAGGATCCATTGCTTTGTGCAATCCTTCAGCATGGGGATGAAAATTCAATCAGTCCATTCTGGTAAATACCTGGGGATGTGTCCAGATGTGGATAAATAGCTGGGACTGGCTGCTTTTAATGAGTGGAAACTCCAAGAATGAGCTGCTGCTAATCCCGTTTGAAAGTATTTACTCCATCAAAGATATCGGTGTTGCCTCTCCTCATTGTCCTGTTGCAAGTCCAAAACTTCCTCAAAATATTCAGTGGAGTTGCTCCTCCTTATGGCTCTTCTTGGACAGGGAGATGGACCACTGACAGGTCAGTCTTGGATTTTTTTTTTTTTTTTTTTAATTTAACTTAAAAGCATTTTTAATTCTGTTTTCTAGCCTGGGGTAGCCCCCAAGGCTGTTGTGACAATAACCATTTTCTGGGTAAGGCTTTAATGAATTCCTTAATGAGTTCTGGAATACTTTCCTCCTTCAGCTTGGGGGGCTGGGATTGAAATCACGCCCTGTCTAAACAAAAAAAAATATAGACTTAAAATCCCTTAAACCTAAAAAAAAAAATGTTCAGTAAGAGATAATTCTGGTAGTTCTGAAACTTTATCTCCCTTTTCAGACTGYGGCTGTGAAAACATTTATATATTTATAGTATTATCTGCCTGTGTTTATGTAATTTGTGCATTAAATCTGATTTCTATTGTAAAGATTGGTAACACAAGAAGYGGCAGTTGCTGCATTTCAGTTTCATCAGCAAAAATATGAAATATCTCTGGAAATATTTTTCTGCTCCATATAGCTTTGTAACTAAAGTGCAATAATTGCACTGAGAACTATTATGTGCAATCATGCACTGTATAYGTAACAAAGCAAACAGATGGATGAATAACTGAAGCAACTATTGGCTGCCACACATGAATTTTGGGGTTTTTTTAATAACTTTTCTTAGCACTGCTGCTTTATTTTGAGTGCTGCTGATATTATTTCAGCACAGCCCGCTTTAGAATGTGTTTGCAGAGAGTTTTGGTGGCTGATTTTTGCCTAAGGGTGTTGGAGTAGCAAAATGTCTTTGTGTTCCCCAGTAGAAAACACCAACAAGTGAGTGCTACAGGGTTTGCTGTGTAATTTCTGAACGGGAATGGCAGCRAAATTGTACATAATCAATGTTTGTGCTTGTAGGGTTTTTGAGTGCTCTGTTTGTACAGCTCTGCTCCTGTGGTAGCTGGGCCACTTTTATGGATGTGCTGCACATATTATTCAATATTGAGGTGAAAAATCTGCTGGAGAAGCTGCCAGGTGTGGAAGGTTTGGGAAAATCCTGTTATCCCTGAGGAGTCCCACGTGGGGAGGGCATCAGTGGTGGCTCAGGAATTGTCATCCTTGGGGAGGAACCTTGTGGAGCTCCTGGCAGAGCTTCTGGGAGCATTTGGGGAAATTTGGCAGTGTGGGAATTGAGAGAGCACGGGGATTCTGGAATACCTGGGAGCCTCTTGGAGCAYCCAGCTGCCTTCTGGGAGCACAGCCTTAGGTGTTTGTGTTTGCTGTGCCTTCCTTGTCCTGCTTATCCAAACAAAGCCCGGAAGCGCTGGCGTCATGGGCTTGGAATTGGATGGAATAAAATAACATCTGTGGAGGGAATGGGGCTGAGTGTCCTGAGAGGAGGGAACCTTGATTAAAATCCTTCAGCTGTGCTGTGTTAGGAAGGCTTTCCCCATTTCTGTATGTGGAATAAAAAGGGAAGAACAGAATTAAGGGAGAAGGTGGCAAAGGCTGGTGCCTCTGGGAGGGGTAGAGATATGGGATCATGGAATTCTCTGCTCTTACCTGTCTCCAGCAGCTTCCTTGCCTCCCAGCTGGTGCTTTAGCCTTTAGCATCCTCCCAGTGGTGCCAGCTGGTCTGCAGGAAAAACTGTTGGCAGTGGGGAATGGTTCAGGGCGTGGAGTTGGGTGCTTTTATTGAGGAGTYGCTTCAGYGCAKAGCGTGCGGTGCCTGMRTATCAGAAACGAAGAGACTGGAAATAGRAAAAGTGTTCCTGTGGCAGACCCTGACCCAGGAAATCTCTCAGTGCTGAGCCAGATGGAAGTGGCTGATGATAATTTGAGTTTCTGAGTCTTGAGGCAGATGGTGAACGATTTAAAAGGAYGCTTGCTTTCAGAAAAATCTGCTGTGCATATGACTCCAGTGAACAAATCGTGCCCCTGCCATGGCTGGGGATTATCGAGGCAGTGGTTTGGAATGCCCTATAAATGCTGTCCTTGCAAGGAGGGRTTGCTCTGCAGAGATAGGGTGAAGTGTGTCACTGGGGAAAGTTCTAGATAAGGKCTGTGGGAATGTCTCTGTTGATAAATGTGGGGTTAATCTCTTGAAATGGGAGCGTGTGAGTGAAAGCTGATGTTAGAATGGCAAAAGTAAATCTTTAATTATTGTTTTGTGAGGAGTGGAAAGAGCTAAGAGAGGGTGTGTCCAGCAACTTGTTTGATTKACTTGGACTTTTTCCTGCTGCTTTGGGGTGCTGTGGGGGAACTATTGTTCTTTTGCATCAATCCATGGCTCATTTGTAGCTTTAACACAGAAGATAATGCTTGGACTGAAGCCTTTTGGTGTGCTCTAGCTCGATGTTGTGGTGATGTTACCTGGTGTCCAACCTCTTTTTTCTTTTTCCTTTATATCTCTTATTTTGTTCTTACAGAAATCCCCACCAATTTTCTGCTGACATCACCTGTTGCCTTTTCATCCCTGCTGGAATTCCTTCCTTYCTGCTCACCTGGCTGCCCCTTTATCCCATGGTTGTGTTGCCTCAGTTTT